TTATTTATTTATTTATTTACATCTAGCAGAACTATGCCTCACAGGACTGCACACTCACTATAATCCATCGTTTTCTTTTAAGGTTTGATTCCGACCTACCCCTGCCAATACCTTAGTCATCTCCAATGGCCTTCCCCACAACCCCGATACTTTCTTCTCTGCGTCGCCGCAGCATGGCAACCGAACGAACTCACTCCTACAACTCGAGCTGCTCTATGATAACGCGGAAGCTGACATTGCTATCCCTGCTACTATGAACTGCAGCCTGACCGTAAACTCAGATGTGTCCAATAACGACTCATATAAAGCCTTCCTTCTCAACGCGCTACCAAGCAAACGTAAAATGCCTATTCTAGGAACTTTCATTTTGCTATCCAGTCCGCACCTTACACGTACTACCAAAGCTTGACACCCACCTGACGCCCCTGATGCGCTGCTGCACATTCCAGGTTACACTATTCGCGGTAATGGACGGGTCAATAAAAGTGGTGGCTGTTTTCTTTACGTTATCAATGACGTCCACATTTCTACCTTCCAAGCTATTTCCATTGACAAACCAAAAGATACCGTTTGAATTTAATCCATCGGAAGCCAGCCAGACCTCCTAATTGCTTGTGTGTCTAACTCACCTAATTTCTTCCGTTTTAGGGTTGGAGATCTGGTCAATCAATTTCATGAACCGTCATCCATGTCAGCACGATATAGGCAGATATTATAATACGTTCAATATTGCGTGGCTTAAGCAGACCATACCTTCAAGGCATAGAGCCTTCGTTGACACCGTTTTTACGCACGATTGAAATCAATCAGTACCTGCTCTTACGAGATGACCTAATACCCTGGACTGCTATTCAGAAAACGCATACCACATGCATAGACTAACGTGTTAGACAATCTTCAGTGTGGTGCTACAAAATACTGTGGATCATGTTTCTACCCCTTAACAGTCACCATCACCGAGCTATTTTGAACTTTTCAATCAGGCTTCTTCACCGCATCAGTTGCTAATCAATTTCCCTACCTTTCCGAGCGGCACCTTGGTGGCATCTTGGTGACCCACATAGATATAGCGACTTGTGAGTTTTATAGAAACCTCACGAATTGCTTAGACGCCATTGCCCCAAAGCACAGCGAGATAAGGAAAATATAGTCTCTTATTTACGCCATCACAGGTAGAGTCTGCCCAGCGCAGCAAAATACGCTCATAATTCGTATAACCGAAATCCTGGCTAATTAGAGAAATACGCTAGACATGGAGCAGATATCGAATGAGCAGGGACCGCTTTGCACGCACAGCAAAGGACGATCTCTTGCTAGACTTAAGAAAACCGTTTGACCTCACCGATCTACCCATTATCTCATGCATTCTCCCTGATATAACGCTACTTACTGATTCAGTCGATCTACTCGCCCTTGTTGCCAAGCCCTATTGTGACTCCTTCACCGCCACAGATTTGGTAGTACCAGGCAGCGTACTTAAGTTCACTGACCATTTGCTGTATACTATCGACTTTAGCCTGTGCAAAATCACGCGAGCACTTTGGAAGCTAAAGATGCACAATATCATGGTCTAGACGGTGTCTTCGCTTCACTGTGGAAACTTGGGGGTCCGGATATCCTAGTTCGGCTGCTTAAGGTTTTCACTTTGTCTACGAAGAGCGGCTTCTACCCACACATATGGAAGCACGCGACGGCCGGTCCAGGACACAAACGAGATAATCGTCAAACTGTGAACAACTACAGTCCTATCAGCCACACATCGATCGCCTCTAGTGACATAGTGAGCATCATTAGGAACGGAATGCTTGCATTTCTGCAGCATTGCACCCTGAATAACAGGTCAAAGCACTATTTTCTTCTATCAAAGTCCCGCCAAACTTGCCAGTGTGAATTGCTGAACAACCTACCGCCCGCCATATTTGACGCAGGTACTGGTCATTGTTTTCCTTGACAGTAAAAAGGCATTTGATTGAGTCTCACATCGAAGACTACTCACGAATTTAGCTGCAGTTGGCCTTTCAGGTATTCTCCATGCATGGTTTTTATTGTACCTTTGCAACGGAACACAGTCAGTTCCCCTACGTAACAGCACGTTGAAAAGGTCACAGGTAGCCAGCAGTGTTTCAGGAAAGCGTCCTTGTTACCTTGCGGTTTCTACTCTATATAAATGACAATCTTGGAGTTTTCTGTCAAAGTACACCATACCTGTTTGCTGACGATGTAAAAATGGTGATATTATTTGATCCTACCGACCAGCAACACAGCATCCTCCTCATTCAAACTGACCTGAATGCATTCGAAACCTGGTGTGATTGATGAAAACTTGTATTCCCTCCATCAAAGTGCGACGTACTCTCCTACAGGTAGACTGTACCGCCCAAAACGCTTATCCGTAACGCTATTTCTCTAGAAATCTGCTTCGCCCTTCGTGACCTAGGTGTGTGCTACACAAGCTCGCTAAATTTTGCTGAACAAGTGAGCTATAGTTCCGCAACAGCTAGGGCAAGTATTGGATACCACTTTAAATCTGTGCGCTTAATGGCATCTTGACTCACTCGTTACAAATAAGGTGCCCGACCAATGCCGGAATACTGTTCCTTAGTCATTGCTACCGCACGCAACCTCAATAGCCTGGTGTTCGAGAAGGTACAGCGCTCATTTTCTAAGCGCCTACTATGCCTTACTATAATCATCTATCAAGTCCGGTTTAAGCAGCTAGGGCTAGAGCCACTTTGGCTACGCAGCACTAAAGCTAACCTTATCTTCCTCTATAAAATCGTCAGACGCTCTAAATCAGATAGTAGCTGCTTGTTCCAAATGGTGGGCGGTACCCGATATCCTTTAAGTAAAACGCCGCACACATTGTTCCTGCCTAAAGCGCACTGTTACATACGTTTTAACGTCTTCCTCAACAGATGCGCCAGTGTATGGAATAAGTCGCCAAAAGCCGTCAGGATATCTGAAAGTGTACTACTATTAAAGTTGGATGTTTGTGAGTACGGTAAAGTTTGTAGAAAGTAGAAATCAAGATTAAAATCCACGCACAATAATATGCCTCGACGGGGAGTCGAACCCCGGTCCACGAATTTCCGGTCCGCTGCTCTACCACCTGAGCTACCGGGGGCTGACGATTAGGTGCGCAAATTTTAACACATGACTTCTGCTTGGTGCGCGACGTATTGCCAATGGGCTCACAGTATCTGTCCTGGTGTTGCAGATTGGCTCACCCAGCCGTCACTTCCCAATGGGCTGAAGTATCTGTTCTTCAAATGTCCAATGGGCGATAGTAGATTAAAGTTGGATGTTTGTGAGTACGGTAAAGTTTGTAGAAAGTAGAAGTCACCATGTGTTAAAATTTGCGCACCTAATCGTCAGCCCTCGGTAGCTCAGGTGGTAGAGCAGCGGACCGGAAATTCTTGGACCGGGGTTCGACTCCCCGTCGAGGCATATTATTGTGCGTGGATTTTAATCGTGAATTCTACTTTCTACAAACTGTACTACTATTCTTCGCCTCTATTAAGAGATTACTCACTGTTCCGAAAGTAGTGGAAATATTGCGTACCTGCATAGCTGCAGACGAATTCTGGGAAAACGGACCTACCCATAAATAGTCGCACAATAAAATTAATCTGCGTCTACCTGTTACTAAACGCTACCTCTCACCCTTACCTTAGTCTTTGCATTCCAACCACAGGTGTATACTCTTCATCCCTACACATGCATGACGTGTGTGCTCTTGTTCATTTGAATCACTTCCCTCTAGCCTCGCCAGCTTCTCGCAGCGTTGTCACTGTACGCTTACTCGAACCTACTTTACCAGCACTACACAACGATCCATTATACATGGGAATAACTTCTGCTAGTAAAGTCCGTGCCTTCACTAACCGTTTGCACTGGTATCGGTGATTAAGCGCAAGCGCATAACAATCGCATTGAGCTGATAGCCTTTCTCTGTGCCACCATGCGATACACCCTTCTCGAGGTAGCCAGAAATGCCTAAGCTTATTCCCATCTGGCTTTTCTTAATACAGCTGTGAAAGTGTTTGTAGTCTCTCAATCTGTGTTCAGCTTTTCCCTGGTAGCACATGTCCAGGTCCTGTCCAGTTTAGCATGCTAAACGTTCCTATGAGAGCATTAGGCTAAACTGGACAGGAAGTATTACCGTGAGACGGCTAAAAAGGGTTCCTGTCCAGTTTACGTTGGACCAATGAAGATGATGCTAGCGTTGACCAATAGAAATTCACCACTATGCGTGACAATCCGGTTGGTCCAGATCCCGTCATTGCCTCCCATGGGTATCCGAATACGGACACCACACTTGAACGCACTATGCGCCTAACGAATATATGGACGGCTCGGACCTAGTGTTCACCCGGTACCTGTTGCGGTAGTTTCTGGACTTGGGAACCCACCTAGGCGGCGACTCAAAGCTGTTGGTCAGAAAAGGAAACCGCTCTTACCGCGCACCTGACATCACAAGGCGAAAGAAAATTAAAACCGAGGTATAGGAATGCTATATATACATGAAGGGGTGCAGTACAAAGAACGTTAGTAGCAGAAAGCGGCATAGTCAATATGCTTAATCCGCTTCCGCGAGTGTCAACGTAGGAGGCTAAAGATGTGCCTAAGGAAGCAGGGGACTCACCTCATTCGCACTGCATACTTTAGTTTGCTCAACCGGCGGTCTTTTGTGCCGTGCAGAATGCAACCACGTTTTGATGTGCCGTGTAATGTCAGCATCCGAGGCTGCATCACCCATGCGTTGCCGAATGATGCCTTGGTAGTTTTTATGGATTACTGCATTCCAACCTACCTTGTACAAGGCCGTTCATATTTGTTCGCCTGAATGCAAACGAACCTCTAGCGCCGGAGTAATTTATCTCCGCGGCAACTGATCTTGTCATTAGCCGCTCCATGGTACCCCGGACGATGAGTTGCACGTTATCACCGTGCACAGCACATAAATGGTTGACCTAAAGTAGTTGAATAATAAGACGAACTTACGACTCTGTTTTTGAAATCGGGGTCCTTCAGCCGTTCATCATATCTCTTTAGCTCACTGAGAGAGATGAATGGCAGAGATAGTCCCGGCGCAACACTTTGGGATTGTCGTTGTAGCATTTGCAACATCGCTTCGGACATGCGGCGATGGCCGACCAATTCTGATCGAATGAGACACAACTCATCTAAAAATAAGGCTGAGTGCAATGCAATACATCTGTAGCGTCTTACATTTTATGGCCTGCAGTTCCTGCAGCACATCCAGATTGCTTGGTGGGACGTCAGCAATAACCGGTGGCGCGATTACTGTTTAATAAGGGCAGTATGAAATCGATACTTACGGTTGCTTGTTGATGGCCCTGGACGTGATGGACTAATGCCACTGAACAGAGAGGAGGGCGCACGTGCGTATGTTGCTGCAGAAGGCCTTTTGGGTTTGCTTGGACGCGCGGCATCCTCGTCATCGGAGCTAGAACGGACGGGCCGGCGTCTAAGGGGAAATAAAAAACACCATACTCACATTGCACGCTTAGCTGGAAGGCCCATGGGAATTGTATCGTCTGTCGATGGCAGCATCCCGCGCTCAGATTGCCGTTCCATTTCTCGGGCATGCTGGAAGCTAACTAACGAGGTGGGTTAATATAAGAGAAATACTTACTCGTGCTAACGATTATGGACACGGCAGTGCTGACCACATCGACATCCGGCGCAGTGTGATTTTTCACCGCTGCATAGTAGTGCGTACCCCGCACTGAAGGTATTTGAGCGTACGAACCTTCTTCTCTAAGCCAAGTGTTACTGACAATAGTTATTAAATCCTCGGAGTCAAGGAGTTTGACAACGCTGTACCCTTGAAAAGCCATCATTGCTGAAAAAGAAAGACGTTAGTAGTTAAAGTGCATAACTGTGTGGCATAGGGTAAATTACAAGAAAATCGTTCAAGGGTAAAGCAATGCACTTAAATAGAATATGACAGACAGAGAAGGTACATACCTCAGTTGACAACTGCGATGCACGGAAGATGTACGCCGTTGAGGAATCCATGCTATGCGTGAACAGACTACGGAGATTCATAAATTCCCGGCATTGCACGACAATGTTCCCGGACACATTCACAGACACATCTGTCAGTACTCTGGGTTTGGCATCGATGATGACCACGTTATCCGGCTTCACAGTGGAAAACAAAATGCCGTGCAAACAAAACGCCTTCTGACCCTTATATGTGCACATCTCTACATTCCCAACCGTGCTTGCGTTGCTGGAAGTAGGAGGAAGCTGTTCCTCTTCCGACGTACGCCGCATGATTTGAGCAACCGGACGCGGGGAATTGTGAATCATGCGCTTGATGGAAAAAAAGTGAGACTCGAAGGGAAATGCTGAGAAGCTGTCTAGAGTCCCCATCTTTCGTACGTCAGCGGGCAGATGAACCAGTGAGTGTACGTTCCACGTCATCTCACTGAGACCATAAAGATCAAAGTAATCATGTAAAAATACATGAATTAAAGGAACAAGGAAATCAAATAAGGCAGTGTGAAGGTGAGGGTGGCACATGATATAAATAGCAAATGAGAGCTCTAGAAAGTTTTGATAGAAAGCATCAGGCAATACCCCAATTAAACAAGCTGGTCCGGCGTATAGCAAAAACTGACGCAACTCAGTTGCCTTCCAAGATCGGTATTCATCCAGTGATAGAAGCTTACGTGGAAAGTCCGATGTCCAGGAAGGCCCGAACTCATGCAACCGTTCGTTTGCTAAAATCAATCGCTCTCTGCGCAGTCGAAATCCACTGTCCACGGGCGAAGTGAGCCAGTTTTTTATCATTCTGCGCATAACACCCAAACATACTGAATGCATATAGTCAATTGGGAAGTCCTCAACCAAATCGACATTCAAAGCAGCAAAAGGCGACGGTTGGCTATCATTCCTTCGAACGGATGCATTAGTCCGTAGTGTGCTATCAGTAAGTGGGTATGTTACCTTGCGGCTCATATACTCACCACGTTGGGTGCATTTGTCACAGCTGTAATAACCCGAATGTTCTTTTTTTCTTTTCACATACGCGCGTGCAGGGGTATCACAGATAACGGCTTTAAGCTTGAATAATCCTTGGCGTTGCAAAGTACGTATCTCATTAATTGCGTCGTACAAGTAATCGTCCACGTCATTCGGCTTCGAGGTCCCACCATAAACACCAACAATGAATGGCTTCGTGATCACTGGCTTTATGACACGGCACAAGATTGGCCATACATGCATCTTGGATGCATTAAAAGGTTTAAACCCGTCAATATGCAACTGATAGTCAACAGTGTCATCAGCGGCGAGCGAAATAGCAGAGCATGCACGCTGTAAACCTCTCAGCAGACCTACGTGACCGTAAGTTCCCGGTGAAACAACGCGAATGCGGGAGGTCCGTGGGGTGCGCATCAGCGTCCGGTAATCCTTTGGCAAAAATGGCATCCACGGCTGCACAAGGCACAACAGTGGACGAACAAAAGACGCTGGTACTTGAGATTTTGCGATCAATTTTCTCAAGTTATGTACCAATTCATCGGGGTCCCTGTCATCTTCACTGCGGTTGATAACGTGTGCAGGTGGCTGAACTGTGTAAGCAATCATATTTAAGATATGTTAAAGATGCTCTTACCCTTCTGTCGTTTAGCTTCTGACAACAGAAGCACCTCTTCGTAGCTGAATCCTGATGTCATTCTTTTCGCTGCACGGTAAATGGTGCTACGAGACGGAAACTGTGCAGTTAATTGATAACTTCGTCGACGTGACATGCTGAAAAGGAACACCTACGTATCAAACAATTTTTAACCGAAAAACCTGATAGGTACACCTGGGGAAACGCAGTTTCAAGGAAGCTAGACAAGAGCGCAGAACGAAGCAGTATCAGCGATCAAGGTTACGAAACCGAAACTGGCCAAATAAAAAGACCTGCAGATGCATTTAAACCACTGGGGTTATGGTCAAATAATAGCAAATATAACGCATATCAACCATTAATTTATTAACAAATGTCAAACTAAATGCATTCAGAAAAAAAAAAAAAAAAAAAAACTGAAGTGGACATCTGTCCAGTTTATGTCCAGTTTGCTACGTTTAGTGTTACGTTTGTGCTACCAGGGTTCGTTCAGATTCAGTTATCAGGTGCCAGTCACTTGCCAATCCTTGTTAACTGGCCAGTTGGTGCGCCTGCATAACACAGCGCAAAGACCGCGCGCCCACGCCGATCGCTCATTTGACTTTGCAACCGTCATGCTCGACTGACCGATGTGCCCCGCTATCAAAGCTGCAAAAGTACAGAACGCCAGCCAACCCACTGGGTCAGGTAACGGCACTACGTTGAACGGCAGAAGTGCGGCTCCGAAAAGCCTTCAAGCAAACGGCATTTACGGGCTGGGAGAATGTCATCGATTGGTTAATATGGGTCTGCCTAGCTCCCACTGTTTAACCTGGCATCATCCAAAGTGTACAAAGGTGTCCCAACAATAGGTCCGAGAGCAAAATAGCTTCTAAGATGTACTTTAGCACTGTACTGCTGCTCTATCCTCCCACTCGTTAAGTGCTTGCATATCCTAGTTCAGTTGCGACCGGTTAACCGCAGAAGCCGAGCAGATGATACAAGATAAGATTAATTCAGTGGAAGCAAGTATGCACCACGGAAGCGTAGCGGCGTCTAAGCAACGCAATGCTGCACTAACCGGTTCCTCTACAACACAATCAGCGCTTCCCTATCTCCGTTGTCTTCTCCAAGGTTGGTAGAAGGTCGGGCGAAAACGGATTGTACCTACGAGAGTTAACGATTAGTCACGACAACGAAAATCAGGCATCACTCGAAAAGTCTGTTATCCAAATTTCACTTACCTGACAGCTAGCCTTAACTAGGATGAAGCAACCGTAAAACAACCCTCAGTGCCTGTAGCTCAAATGCCACTTGTCGAGCCAAAGCCCCCCGTGGCGTCAGGTACATAAGCAGAGATTGCTGAAAAAGTCCACTAGGAGGCCGCCGTTGAGGCGTCTGCTCTTGTAAACACCGTTAACGCAAATAGAAGGACCAACAGCAAACAATCAACACATGTCAGGAAGCCAGGACAAACGAGTACCAAACCTTGTAGATCAACGAAACGAAGATCAGACAAGTGTACGGACTGTTGTGTACACAACTTTCCTGAATCGACCACCATCACATTGCGCAATAAGTTCTCCGAAGACCACGACCGATGGAACTAATTGTACGTGCTGGTGTACGTCAAAGTTAAGCCGATAAACCTATTACGAATCGCTTGCCAGCTGAACTCGCCACACTGTAGAGAACCCAGAGTGTTTCGATTAATACTGGAATCCTCCACTGACGTGGAAAACGATTTGATCTCCGCAAGCGCGCAACACACGGATGCTGTGGGATTCGCATCTGTCCTGACGTCTCTTGGAGCGCGCGACAATCCAAAAGAAACACCTTGGAGAGACACAGCTATTAAGGACGCCTAAACACGATATTCATACATGACAAGTCAGAATGTCATTCTAATGACGTCCAAGAGAGCAAAAAGCATGATTTAGAACAGCAGCGGTGCATTTATGAAACACTAACTTTGGATAATATTATAGCGCTATCGCTCACCAGGATACCTCTCTCACCGAAATATAGAGCATGCGGCCCTAGAAGCCTAAAAGCTGTGGTTCAGTCAGCGCAACAGGCAATGAATGTTTTGTATCGATGGCAGATAAATCGGAAACCACTTTACTATAAACTTCGGTTAAAAGTCGCAGCAGCGTTGCACAGCTCAAAAGTTAAAGCACATGAAGCCGCAAGCATCCCGACGAACGTACAGAAGGGTAATGTGCCTGCTGTTTTAATTAACTCTGACGTAGGTCTAAACGAAGGCTAGAATGCATCCTGGCGGAACCAAGTTGTAAACAAGGAATCAGTATCCCAGCAATAAAAGGAGTAACTGCGGACCTCCCATCGGTCGGCATTCTCCCAAACTTGACCCCTTCACCCCTGTTGGCTCCTACAGACAGAAAAACTGGCCTACTTGTATGCGAATGCTAAGGGTTTTGTTAATAAACTGATTAAACTGAAACATCGCCAAGCTTCCGGGGCATATGCTATTACTAGTCTCACCGTAAAGTGGTTGCACACAGGAATGACGGACGCGGAAGTTTCGCCAACGGGAATGTCGCTGATCCAGCACGACAGGCTCAAAAATGGAGGTGGGTTAATGTTGTATTACCGAAGCGCCTTACAGTGCGTAGTCGTGGAGGATTCCAATGTGCAGTTCCCCGACTCTCTTTCGTGCCGCTTGTAGTTAAAAGGCAGGGACGCTTGCCTTATTTTCTTGGTGTACCGTCACCCTTACTCTACGCCTGCAAATGACTACAGTCTAGGGGCCGCTTTAAGAGATTCAGTTTACAACAAAAGTACACCCACACACTTAGCCTGGGTGATTTCAACGTATAGTGTGTAGAAACTGCTGCCACTATCTGAGAAAGCTTCAAAGCAGCTACAAGATATGGTAACCACGGTTCCTCTTTGCAAATCACATCACTGCCCTCTCGGTTCAGAACAGGTAACAGGCAATTTGTGCTGGATCGTGTGCTTAGTAACAAAGAGCATATGATTGGTGTGTTGCGTTTAGACTGCCAGTTGGGTCGCAGTGATCACGCAGTGATCAGTTTACACTTCGTTACTATGCAGAATATCGGAATGCGAACGATGAGACTAGGCGAAC